GTGGTGCCAAGAGGCAAAGAAATCCCTATTGCTGCCTCAAATCTAATAACTAGAAACACTGAACATTGCAGATCATTTGCTCTGCTCTTAAAAATCAGTTACTACACCTATTCACAAACAGACTACATGCTTAAATTAGTTTTATGGCATCACTACTGTAACTTATGTACATGCATTACAAACAATTACAAAAATTTATCACCCAACAATAAAATGAGCATGCAGACATTATAAACTGCTGTATATATCACATATTATGTAGCATTTTGACCTTAGAATTCTAATTAGAAGTCAGACCCACAGCTACGAACACTTTTCATCTCTTCTCACAGTTCACCAGAGCAATGTGACCTCATGCACGCAGCTTTGTGTAAATAACCACAGAAAGGTAATTTGCTCTGTGTATTGTATTTCAATATGACATGATAACCACTTGGGATCTTCTTTTAATTACCTGTAGACATATGTTGTTACAGAGGCCTGGGGAAGAAACTTTGCCAACATGTTCTCTGCCTGCGTGTGTTTGTGGGCGTGGTTGTGCTTGTACGCATGTGATTGTGTATGCATCAGTGTGCATTGTGTTTTAGTGTGTAGATTAGGTGTCTCTGCATTCTGTTTTGGCTTAGGGCAAATTTCTGTTTACTATGTGCTCATTATTGTTCTGGGCCACAAGTCTCACAAGAGGATTTTGCCTCCTTGTAAATTAATCCTCTGTTATTACCAGTTTACTTATCAGCAACTCCGTGAAAATGGAATGTGGCTGGTGGATCCACCAGAAACATGAGAATAATTTTGCTTGACAAAATTATTTTAAAAAATCATTTGTTAAAAAAAAAGCATTTTAAAAAAATTAAAATATAATCTAATGTCATCTAATCTAATGTTGGTGTCTGCTGTGTGTAATGTCTGTAGCGCATAACAGTCAAAATCTAATTTTCATATCTGGTGCTATTTTTAATTCATGAACCACTTTGAGTGAGATTATCTGCAGCCTTGCAGCCAGGCACAGGGTAATTGTGAACATGTAGACGCTGTAAACCAGATCCTTGAGTGACTCACAGGTGCTGCTGAGCTGTAAGGCAAAACTGCCTGAGAAATACATGAATGTCAGCCTGGTGAACGTGCTCCATTATTCAAGCTAAAATTGCATAGTTCACCTTCATGCTTTCCCCTCTGCGGTCCCAAGGTAGCTGCTGAGTTGTCGCTCCTGATGGCCTCTTAAAAGCCTCACTGTCAGGACCAGCTTCTTTAATGAACAGTGCTGCACCTGCTGCTTTTCCACTGGTCACAGGTGTATGGCTTTTCAAGGCCAGGCACCCCTTTGTTTATTTATTGTTCATCAGCTGTGTATGCCAGCAGTCCCCACAGTGTCCAGATGTCAACATGCAACAGGGGAGGGAGACACGAGATTTGATCATGATACGATTCGATCTTCCTGTCATGCATGTGTTGTTTTTTTTAGGTTTGTCTCCAGGAATAAAACAAGACAGTGCTAACTTTTCCTCACACTCTTTTTTTTTTTCCAGTTTTGTGTGGAGGAGTTCTTATCCCAGGGCCGCAAAAGGGCTTATCTAAACAGCTGGTTTGGTGGGACCTTTTAGGACGCTTGGCCCTCAGTCTGTAATCTTTTCTGATTTTACACGTCAGGCTCATTCATTCATTAGCCGAGCGGCGTCCACCGGTGTTTCTCCCTGGCT